GGTTTAAGAAATTGGTCCCTATCTCATGTGACCTGTCCAACTTCCCCTGCTTTCCTGTCCTCTGGATAACTTCCTCCCCAGGAACCCCCTTCTCTCTCGGCTCCCACTCAGCCGCCTTCAGCACTTGAAAAGTGAGTTCATGACCTGTGTCCTCACTGCCTTCACGGAAGTCTTCAGTCCTGAGAACTGCCTCCCCACTGCTCAATCACCCCCTCTCCAAAACAGGCCCCTTTTTAAAATCCAGCCCTCACCCTTGCCTCCCAGAGCAGCCAAGGGGTTGATACTCACACCACAGCTGGCTGGGAGCAGAGGCTGCTGGTCTCGTAGTAATCTACCACAAAGTTGCGAGGAAGCTTCCTCACGGTGTAAGAAAAGCAGCAGGCGGTGGGAGGGTCTGAGCCCACTGAAAGGAAAGGCCAGGGTGAGATCAACACTGCACATGGGAGCTGTTTATGTTGGCTTCTAACTTTGCGTCTTCATTGAGCATCCTTGTGGAGCTACCAGAACCCCAAAGAAGGTCCCTTGTATCCATTCCCACCTAACCTGAGCAGGAGTCTTATTCTGAATAGTGGATCTTCAGACAAGAACAAGAAAGAAATGTAGAAGACTGGAACCGGATTCAGTCTCAGAACACATCGCATCCCCTTCATGTGACAGATGGGGAAACCAAGGCACAGAGAGGGACAGGGCTTGCTTGAACAAGTAATTAGAGGCAGAGCCAGTTCAACAGTCTGACTTCCAGCCCATCCTTTTCCTCTGCTGGTTGCAAATTCTTCAGAAAATAGGAACTTCAATGTTATTGAATATCTACTAGACTCTACAGACTTCGTGGCAATCTTCCTAGCTGCCTTTTGTCCCATCCCCAGATCCCACTGTTTGAGCAGCCACAGCTAGAAAAAAAGACTCTGCCTACACCTCGGCTCTGGAAATAGCAGCTGCGAAAGTAGACTTACTTGGTGCTGAGAGTGCTGGAGAGCAGAAGGCAGCTACTAGCGCGAGGAGAGACAGGACAGTCACGCAGAGCTTCATGGTGTTGGTGGAAGAGAGGTTTTCTCAGAGGTGAGGCTACAGAACTCAGAAGCTTCAGAACCCAGCTGTGTCCTGTGCTGATACTGAGTTGGGAATCTCTCTTTATAGAGACTCTGAGGCCTGGGACAAATGTGGGGGCTCGGGAGAGTGAGCGGAATTTCCATGGTACAGATGATGTCATGGCTCCTGAAGCTAGCTGAGTGAGGAGTTCCTCTCAGCTTCTCTTCCCCAGGGCAATGTCATCATAGAGCAAAGATGAGGGAGGTTCAGGCGAGAATAAAAGGGAAGTGGTACAACCAAAGGCAGTGACCGAGACTGGGGAGAGAGTTGCAACCCCCAGAGGAAAGATGAAATGTTCACACCTGCTACAAGTGGCTTGTAGACAAGAACTGTGCTGCTCTTGGTGGTTGGCACCCCCAGATGCTGGAGGGTTCATGTCAGTCTTTCCAGGCTGGCCACAAGCCTGGCCCCAAGGACAAAGGGGGAGCCAGGACCCCACCCATCCCCTTCCTGTGCCTCTTCTGCTGAGCTGAGTGCCACTGACTTTTGTGCTCCATGTGTTTCCCTGGGCATGAAGAGTCCAGCATTGGATGTGCAGAGGAACCCAGAAGGGTGACTCAGGAACATTTGTAACTTCTTATTGGACACTTAGCGTGTACCTGGCACTGGGAAAGCTGTGTTACACATATTATTTCTAATCCTACCATAACCCTGGGCAGGAGTGTGTCATCTCGTTTTACAGATAAGACAATTGAGGATTAGAGAGTGGTCCACTGATGCACTCAATGCCACACAGCTGATGAATGGCACTACCAAGATTTGAATCAAGATTCGTCTGACTCCCAAGTCCATTTTCTTTACATGCTATAGTCTCCAGAATAAACATAGAGTGTGACCACAAAGAGAAACCGTTGACTGATAGACAGCTAGGAGCTATTCCACACTCAAAGACCGATTGTATTCAGACTTAATTCAGGAAAGAGATAGAGCTAGTCTGTCCTAGAACAAGGAGGCAACGGAGGAGAAATAAAGAGTTCAGGATATTTTCCTGGACCAATAAAAGAACAGGACAAATAAACCAGTAAGAATCAAGTTTGGAAGACCCAGATAGAGAATGTTCTTCTAGTATAAAAACAGGATTGAGCTGGGTGCAGGGCCTCACACCTGTAATCCCAGCACTTTGGGAGGTCAAGGCAGGCAGATTACTTCAG